CCGGTGAGGATCGCCACGTCTTTGAGGGTGATCGTCATTTCCCCCTCCGCAAGGTGGAATGTATGGGTTTCGGGACGCCATCGTTCCGCCATTGCCGGAAGCAGATCGTTGTCGATCTCGATCCGCAAGAAATGGCGCAACATTCCCAAACCGGTCCTCGCTATATAGGGCTCCAACCTTGGATGCCAAGCGGGCAAGTTATTGGTCCCTTTATGAACCACGGGAACAAGAGATTCCTAAAAAAAAAAAAGGAAAAACATCAATTTATTAGATTAAATAAAGCAAAATAAAACATTAGAAAATAATAAAATAAAGCAAGTCAGTTCATCAAATTACCGGATTGTTATCCCAAATGGCACGGGAGCGATGCATTTCTTGATCGGTTAAGAGACTCGCATCCCTTGGGCCATAATGGATATACAATCGAGGATCGTATATCTCGGCACCCATCTATAAAAAAGTAATGAAATCAGAGATTGTTTTGATAAAAAAAAATCAAATTGTTTCGATTAAAAAAATCACAAACCAAAAACCTACACGAAGAGCCTCTTCGTCCATTATTGGCGGAAGCCGGACAGAGGTTCGACGGGTTTAGCTTTGTAAGGGACGGGAACTTAGCGGGATGGGGGCTTTAGGGTCAAACTCTAGTAATTCTTTCTGATGTGGAAGATCGGACTTAGCCGCAACCACAGAGCATACTTAGAACGAGACTAGAGCGGATAAATTGAGGGAGAAAGAAGTGAAATGTTTGTGGGGTGAGTTGAAAGTGAAAGGGGAAGGGGGTATTTATAGTTGGGGGAAGGGGGAGAGGAGCTGCTGCGCAGTAAATGTGGGGGAGCATTCACCGCGTTTGATGAACGAGGTGAAGGACTGGCATTCCCCAAAACCGGTTTCCCGTCCACGTGGCTTGCTGTGAGGCGTCGGATCGTGGGAAGAAAACCACGATCCGCGCCTCACCGCATCTAACGGCCACGGTGAAAGCACACTGAGGCGGATCGCTGACGTGGCAGACACGGGTTATTCATCGTGTTTGTCTAACGCGGTGAATACCCCGTGTCTGCCACGTCAGCAACTTCACCGCGTCCTAGAAAAACGGTGAATTGCTCACCGTTTTTAATTAAAACGGTGATTCTTTCACCGTTTCAGTTTAAGACGGTGAATTTTTCACCGTTTTAATCTAACGCGGTGATATCCTTCACCGCGTTTGTCTAAAACGGTGATGCTCAAACATGTGTACTTTTGGAATTTTTTTTATAACTTATGTATTTTGAGAATTTTTTTTAATAACTAGTGTACTTTGGGATTTTTTCCTTTTTGCTGCGCCCCGCTGCCTTTTCTTTTTCAAGAATTTCGTTCCCAACCGCCTACAATTATTCCCTTTGCCCTCTGCCTTCCTCTTTTCCCAAAGTAATTCTCCCCCTCAAGAAATTCCTTCCGTCCCACAATTAGTTGCCAAGAGAATTCCCTGGCCCAAGAATTTTCCTCGTCCAATTCCGTCCCAGACGCCAAATCCAATTCCGTACTGCCTTGTCCAATTTTGTCCGGCCCAAAAGCATTGCTCCCCTCCAAAGATAGCCGCCAGCAAATACTTCAAAGTCCCATCAATTTGGGCTTTGGCCCAATTACTTGTTGTGGAAGAAATATGGATCCAATTCCTCCCGCCATCTGCTGCTTCGGAAGTTCCAGTGTTGCCATTTTATCTATCTTTTCACCTAAACACACACAAAAACTCCAACACAAAATGGTAATGGCTTTTCAACCATTACGGATTAATTCTCTCTAGAATAGCACCAATCGGCTTAAACATACCATGAAATAGTCACATAAAACTCACGAATCCGATATATTAAAGCCGATTATGAGTGGCATGTGTTATGTTTTGAGTACTCAATTCGCAATATTAAAGGTAAAGGAATGCTAGCTTTACATGAGACCCACATAAATTTTTTGAGTTCAAACCTGTTAATTCGAGCCTTATGATTTAGGAAGGTTGGTGCTTATCTTGCTAAAAAAATGGAAGGTCGGTGCTTAGTACGGATAAGATATTTATTGATTCACAATTCACTCAGACCACTATTAGGATTTGGCTTATTTGTGGCTGGGTTGATATCAATCCTTAGGTTAATCACCCTCGTTAGCGTGCCCACCCCATTCGAAACCATTATTTTCAATTATGTTTATACCTTAAGTTGATAGCTTAAATCATTATAGTGTAAACCCACAATGATATTATTCATCACACATTTACCAATTTCATATATCAATTTCATATATTAGACAGTGGATATACATAAACAAACCCATTTATTCTCCATCATTATGTGTGCTTTTATGGTTCACTACCAAGTCCTTATATACCATCAACATCAAATGAGAATACGAGATTGAGATGTGAAGATAATGTTACCAACAAAAAAAAATCAAAGATAATGATACAAAATTAACAATGACAACGGCAATTAATGCACTTTATTTTCGACTTAAACTAGACATTAAAAATTTCTTCAAGAAGCTTTAACAAACATATATCTACATTGTGAAAGTAAATTGATGAGGTAAGAAAGCCGATGTGAAAGCAAAGCCAGAAGAAAGAAATAATTGAAGCGCTTTTTGTCTTCCTCCTTGTCACTTTAACAACTATGGGATTATGGGCCTTGAATTTGTTTTGGTGGATTGGTTGGCTAATAACAGAACAGTCGAGCATTTGGGCTTGGAGCAAAAAAAGCCCAATCTCAATGATGACAGATCCGGCCCATCATTGACCTGGTTAGCAGGCAGCAGCTGCAGATTCTGGGTTCAAGCAGTCCAGCTTAGTAATGACGAAAACTGCTTGCGGATTCTCATGCTGCACAGTAGCAGTACTCGAAAAAAATTGGATGCATTGGTGCCAGATGGAGAAGTACTTCCTCTCTTGAAATTCCTCTCCTGATGACTTTAAGTCACCAGTAGTCTCTGCACGAACACGATCCATTGGAGAAATGATGAAACCGCTTCGTGTCTCGAATGATGATCTCGCGACCCTCGAGCCTCGACACGACCTTTGCGAATTCGTGACAGTCCCCGCATATCCTGAGGTTCTTGGTGACGACCAGAGGCATTCTTAGATTGGCACTCACCATAAGACCAAATGCAATGGCTAGCTTCTCGCTATGCTTGTTGATCATATCCTCTCTCACCTCCTCATCATCAACATCTTGCAGAACGAACTCTGTTCTTGCCCAAGCCCCACTTCCTCTAACCTTCTTCACAAGCTCCTCCAACTTCTTTGATATCTCTTCCTCCAAAGGATGAGAGCGATCGCCCGAGACAAACCGGTGGATTCGCTTTCCATGCTCGATGCAACTTGAACCGGGGATTCGAATGACACTTCTCTTCTTCATCAATCCCCTCACTTCGGAGGCTTCCTTCCGTAGACCAGCAGAAGAGTACATATTTGATAAAGAGAGGTAGTTTCTTGAGTCCAAAGGTTCCAAAGCGAGCATATTATCGAACGCTTCCTTCCCAAGTTCGATATTGTTGTGCTTCTTGCAGGCACCCATTAGAGCTCCCCAGACGCCAGAGTTTGGCTTCATTGGCATACTTATTATGAGCTTGTAAGCATCACTAAGATGTCCGGCTCGACCCATGAGATCGACCATGCACGAGTAGTGGTCGACCCTTGGTTCGACCCCATAGATCAATGTCATAACCTCGAAGTAGGCCTTCCCTTCTTTCAGAAGACCTGCATGGCTGCAAGCGTTCAACAAGTGAGTGAAAGTGACATGATCAGGAGCTACACCTTCTTTTACCATCAGGTTGAAAGTTTTCACAGCTTCTTTCCCTTTCCCGTGAACTCCATAGCTTGCGAGCATGGCAGTCCATGCTATGGAATCAGGATTTCTAATATGGCTAAAAACCTTCTGTGAAGCGACCAATGAACCAAGTTTGGAATACAAGCTCAATAATCCAGTAGCTAGAGTTAGGTTCGAGTCAAGACCTGTAATGAAGAGGAAGCCATGGATAGCCTCTGCCAGCTTGGCTGAACCGAGTTCTTCGCATGCTTCAAGTGTTGTGATTAGAGTGCCTTGATCTGGTTCGATCCCTGCTCTTCGTGAACGAATAAAGTACCCAATTCCTTCCTCTGGCTTTCCCGTTTGGACATGAACTGCAATTATGGAGTTCCAGGAGACCAAATTTGGAATTGGGATTGCCTCGAACAATCCACTTGCACCATCTAAATAGCCAGACTTCCCATACATGTTAATCAGAACGTTAGCAATTCTCAGCTCGAGAAGCATTCCAAACTTCAGGATGAATCCATGAATGTATGTACCAATATCCAGAGCTCTCGTCTCAGTGCATGCGGATATTAATGGAACGATCGTACCTTCATTTGCTTCGACTCCTGTTTCAAGCTTCATGGCTGAGAAGGCGTTCAAGCAGTTACTGAGATCCCCTCTGCGCGAGAACCCGGATATGAAGGAATTCCACGAGACCAAGTCTCTGTCAGGCAATTCATCGAACATGTTGCATGCATCTTTTGTGAAACCCAACCTTAAGTAAGCGGAGACCAACTGATCCCCGATGAACCCATGGCTGAAACTCAGTGATTTCATCACCTTGCAATGAATCGAACGGCAGTTGGAGATAGATGCACAGGAGCTTACCGCAGTGATTACAGCGGAAACAAGGGAGTCCAAGTTGGAGAATCCATGGAGCTGGGGAGGAGACTGAGAAGCAAGGCATAACCTTCTTGAAATGGCGAACTTCACAGGGAGGAGAATCTGTCCTGCATTTCTGAAGATGGAAGCCGCCATTGCTGAACTAATAATAAACAAACCAGGAGAAAACCTCAAGAGAATCGATGAAGAAGTGAACCATGAATACATACAAATTGAGAACAAAAGAGACAGAATGAGAAGTTAAAGACCACACAAAGTGAATATATATATATTTCCATTAGAAGAAACCATTATTCCAGCATCATTTACATTCCATTGTACAGAGAGCAATCTCCTCCTCTACTGACCACTTCCTCTTCTTCCTCCTCTGACGCAGGCTGGGGTAAATAGGCTTCTTTGGTGGAGAGCCGGGAAGCAGTTTCCTACCCGTTGGTCTATCCTCCGGAGGGGTGGCACATCAGCAACATCATTTGTGGTGCTTGTTCCTGGTTCTGGATTCATGATCTGTTTTCCAGTTTGGGTTTTCACCTCCCCAGGCTCTAGATTTGCAGTTGCAGTTCCCAAGCCAGGTTCCAAACAAGTTTCCAGCTGATTTGGTTGTGCATCAACCTCTTCTGCTAGCTGCTTGCCCAGAACAGACTGATCACTTGCAGCTTCTTCCACGTCAGCACTCTTAGCAGGTGCACTGCGGCGAGGGAGATGCATTGGTTGAACTGCAACCTTCCTCTTCACACCATTTTCTCCTATCTTCCCAGAATCTATGTCCTTCCTCTTCTTCATCTTCATGATATCTTCTTCACCCTCTGGCTCATTTCCACCATCTTCACCGTGTGCCCTCTTAGCCCCATCTCCAACATGTTCAGATACACGTTCTTCTCCGTTCCCTTTGTCATCAACCCCACCATTAGAATCCTCTCTTGCCTTATCAGTACGGAAAGCAGATTGTCGTGCAATTCCACACCAGGAGAAAGGCTCGGACAATATCAAGTCGAACGAAACTCGACCACAATCAAGTGCAACTCTTGATTGATACGAAGCACACTCCGAAATTGGAGATCCACCAACTACAAGAGCAAATTCTTGAGCAAAACTCTAAGAACAAGTCAAATTCTTATTCTCTAAAATCTGCTTGGGTTTTGGATGCTTAAATAGAATTTACAGAACTCTGATTCGACTACCAACCTAACAAGGAAACTAAAGCTAACTAAAGCACTGAAATGGTAAAATAATCCTAGCAAAAATGGTAACAAAACTCGGCCAAAACAAGTTTCTTCCTAACTAAGAAATCTGTCTTGGGGCAAGTAGTAAAACAGACCTCTCTATAGCAATTTCAGACCCTTTGTCCAACGTTCCTGAAGCTTCAATTGGATAAACCAACTCCTTCACTTTGTTTAACAAGTCTCCTAGTTTCATCTCCAACTTCTATCTTCCCTCTGATGTGTCCCAAACAAAACGGATAAGGGTTCAAAGTAGGTACCCTGAACACAATTTCTGCCTTGGCCAAATTTTGGGCAGTCTTCTGTTTCCAATATGTGTCCATGCGATCTTCAACAGCTTCAATGGAGACCCAGGAAACTTGATCTCCTTGAAACCATCCATTGTAGATTTTCAACAATTGTAATACTACAACTTCCAAGCAATGGATTCCATTCATAAGCCCCCATGATAAAAATACAACCCTCCAAAGTCGGCACCATGTAACTGCCTCCAGATTTGGCCAATTTCTAGCTTCTTCTCATGGCTTATGCCTTCTTTGAGCTTCAATGAAAATAGTTTTGGATCACCGTCCAAGATCATATTAGAAAATAGTTCTACAAGTAAATTATGAAACACATGAGACATCTATCAATCATGTAACGCTTCTATCCCAATCAAATATAGCTGATTTACGCACTTTACAGGTCAGCAGTTTATTTCAGCGGTTTAAATAAAAAAATTAATGATTTACCAACTGCTTTCCAAATGCATATATGATAGCTCTCGTGGAAGCAATTATCAAATATATCTAAACATCATAAGATAATAAATCTTTTTATATGTTACTTTCATAGATTAAATGTCAAATTAAGAATAAATTGAATTGAGTAGAACATATATGAAAAACATAACATGTGTAGAGTGTCCAAAACTCTGCATCTACCACTCACCACTGTCAATCCAATTTTTAGCGACTCATGTATCATATACTGGCTCATTTTAACTGAGCATTACTAAATTCCTGTTTGTTTCTATTATGGGCAATCCAAGTACCACATCAGTTATACAAGGGAAGGAACCCTTGTATATTAGTGTCCACCAATCTCATTAGTACGAGGCCTTTTGGGGAGGACACCCAAGAGTAAAACCGTGCGGGCTCGGCCCAAAGTGGACAATATCGTACTAATGAGCTGCCCAGTTATGACAAGTGGTATCAGAGCCTGGTTCGGCAGATCCGGGGCGGTGGACATCAGTTCGGTGGACCCTCGCTCGGTGACCTCGGGGTTTGAGATCTGCATCTGGTTTGGTGGATCCAGGAGAGATCCACGTTTGGGCTTGGCGGATCAAAGAGAGTTCCGCAGTTGGTAAAGTCCTTGTATTGAGAACCCCATCGATAGAATCCAGGAGAGATCCACGTTTGTGCTTGGCGGATCAAAGAGAGTTCCGCAGTTGGGAAGCAGATCAAAGAGAGTTCCGCGTCTGGTAAAGTACTTGTATCGAGAAGCCCATCGATAGAAGGCATCTGGGGGATCAAGATAATCGCTGAGGTGAGGACACGATGTTCGTGGTCCTTGGCTTGAGGGGAGGATTGTTATGGGACAATCCAAGTACCACATCGGTTATACAAGGGAAGGAACCCTTGTATATTAGTGTCCCACCAATCTCATTAGTACAAGGCCTTTTGGGGAGGACACCCAAAAGTAAATCCGTGCAGGCTTGGCCCAAAGCGGACAATATCGTACTAATTGAGCGCCCCGATTTTGACAGTTTCAATAATTGTAAAAACTAATTATCACACAACTCTTTTCCATGTGGAGAATAGGAAACAATTATTATGTTGAAGAACATATATCATTATCACTTCACAGTTAATTTACTTCAAATAAATGATAGGAAATGTCTTCATGATATTTCAAATATATACCACTAAACACACAACCAATATCAACTTTCGTGTTACTAATCAGTAATCACAAACATATTAACGTCACTAAAATGAGAATTTATCAATAACAAATCACCAATATTAATAGAAATAATAAAAATAAACACTAGTTCATGATGCTACAAATATACAAGGAATAGCGAATATGTTAAAATAAAAATTGACAATTTATACAAAATATTGTGTATGCATTCGGAAGGGTTCGAATTGAATAGTGAGAAAATCATACCTACTCATTATTCATACTATTCGAGTTCAAGTTTTACCCATACTATAAGATATTTTATTTTGATCGAGTTTTACTCTAGACAATCGAGTCGGATTTGGAAGAATATCCGTCATTAGGAGTATTTTCAATTTTGTCATCCCTATATGTCATAAAAATACCACTTTCCGTGCTCTTTTGGATGAACGCTTGGTTAAAAGCTATCACTAAAAAAAAGAAAAGAAGGAGAATGAGAGGCGCTATCTCCTCTCTCCTCCTTCTCTGTTCGCTGCTTGGACGGTGGTTCTTGAAGGCCGCCTTTGCCGTTTTCGAGGCCAGTCTGCGAAATCAAAGCGACTGGTATCGCAAGCCGAAGGGATTGCGAGAGCCCCAAATCACTAGCCATCTAGAGGGTTGTTTCTCAGATACTGAGAATCGCTTTTCAAGAAGAGCTCCCCAAGAAATTGGCCGGCGCAAAGCACGGTTGATCCATCGGAAGAAGCGCTCGTTTCAGACTGCTTTGGCTGAAACTACTATTGAAGATGACCATCCTACAAAGAGATGTAGAAGCAAGCCCCTGAATCAATGGCGGTTCTGGCTTCCCCACTCTTCAGAATTGGATGATGCCGATTCTGATCTGCCCTCGCTCGCTGGGTATAAAATTCAGACTACAAGAAATCAAATTGAGGTCCACAAGCCTTATGAACGACTCGATCGATTCACTCAAGCTACGCCCTTAGGGACCGGGACTTCTCCGGTGCTTCCAAGAAGTGCGCAAACCAGGATTAAGATACCCTGTTTCGGTGGTGAATTGGTCAAGTTTTCCGAGAGCGAATATCGCAATAATCAAGGTCCTCGGGACGATCCCTTAGGGGATGAGTATCTCTGTGGGCTGTCACGAAAGGGGAGGGTGGAGATACAGAACAAGCCAAAAAATCCCAGTAACACCGACGACGAGACACTCGTCCAGGCGGATGGCACCGTCGTTCAGTGTAGGTGACTAAGAACGCGGTTGCGCTGGGTGGGTACGGGCGTTTTTCCCTCCAATTTTCCAGCTCTGACTAGCGGGATCCGCGGGAGCCGAATCCGGATGGAAATCAAAATCTCGAAGTCCCAACAGCAGTGTTCTACTCCGACTAGGACTCTGCGAGACGGAAGGTATAAGGAAACACGACTTCTCTTGGGGAAGGGGGATTTGTTTTCTTATAAATTGGGCTCCCCCGTCGACACCCAGGCACAGTTCCTCGCTTGGTGTCTCACGATCGGTGGAAAAGAGCCCTTCACCGCTTCCCCTCTTCTGTGACGTGCTTCTCCGCTCCTTCCGCTAGGTAGGGGAAATCTTCCCCAAACCTTTCCTCGACCACTTGTAAATAAGTTCTCTACCCTGCTGCTGGCAGAAGTCAACTATCCTCCGCGGTGTCTTCCGCCGCCAGCTATAGTGGCAAAAACTGCTGTGGCAAACTCTTGTACAACTAATGCGCTATCTATTCCCTTGTCACAGGCGAGTACGATGTCGTGTATAGTGGAGGATCAGGTGGTCGAGTTCTCTATTGAGGAGGTCCAATCCGTGAAGTTTCGAACTTCGAAAACCCTTCTGGGGAGGTTATTTTCGGAAACTATTCCCCTACGGTGCTAAGGGAGGGCTTGATTGATGCTTGGCGGATAAAAGGAAACCTTAGGGTTTTGGCCACTAAATTTGGCCTATTTGAGATGTCCTTCCAAGTGATGAGACAAGGGTTTGGATTGTAAAAAGAACACCCTAGATTGTGAAAGATAGGATTTTCCATCTCCGTTCCTGGACACCATCCATCTCGAGTGCTTTGTGAAAGTGCACGCTCTCATTGATTTTACCAAGCCTCTCCGGTCTCAATTCATGGCGGTTAGTGAGGAGCTCGACAGCTGCTGGGTGAATCTCAAATATGAATTTTTACTGACCTTCTGCTACCACTGTGGTCGCGTAGGGCACTCCAAAAGGGAATGCGTTTTTTATCCCCCACCTCGCAAGGAAAGCTTTGGCTGGCACATGTCTACAAGGAAGCTAAGAAAGAAGATCTATATGGAAGAGGAAGATTACCACCAATTTCGCAATGCTAGCAAGACAGTGTGGGTTAACAGAATACACATGTCCATAATGCTGGGGGTGAGAAGATGACCAGGAGAGATCCAGTGTCTAACGCCCGCTCACATGCTCAAGGGACACAACATCCTCTGCCTGGCGAGCTGGAAGTTCAGAATAGAAGAGAGACGCAGTCTAGGCTGCACGACCTTAACAACAAACCAACTAGGAGTCGTGCTAGCCCTAAGAGGTTTGTCTTCAAGACGTCGCCTCGGGTGAAGATTAGTGGGGGTGTTCGACAGCAACAGAAGAAGGGGTCACCTAGAAAGGCTGCCCCTCTTCCTCGGCAGGCCACCAAGGGGAGACAACAGCCTGGTCGGCGAGCTAGGAAGGCTCCACAACACCAGCAGGTGGTGGTTCATATGGCGAAGGCTTTCGAGCAATCACGGAGGCGTAGGCTGATCTTACAGGAGGAATCTGAGGATGATGAGACCGCGGGTGAGCAACCTATGCACCCTACGAAACCAGGTGCTTTGACTGGTCCTACAGATGACCTCAGGCCGAAGCCACAGATGGATCCTCTAATGCCCGCAAAGATTGCAACCCAGCTAGGGAGCTCACCACCACGGGTATGCCCGCATCTGAGAAAAAAAGGAGGAACAGATTTCTCTCTCCCTATATCCCAGCAGGATGGGGGCTCTGCTCTTTTTGGTGATCTGCTAGATTTGGAGGATAAGGAGATTGCTACTCTCGGTGGTCCTATTCCTGAGGATCATCACCATGCCACTGAATCGGATGACGATCAGTCGACCGAGGACCTCCACTCTTTTGAAATCAAGAGACAATCCCCAGTTGCTATCGCCATAAAAACTCTCCAAGTCATGAAAGGGCGAGTACATCAGGTGGTGGACGTGTTTGAAGCGGGGCTAGTCATTGCTCAGGAGGAGGTCGTTTCTTGTAAGGGGTCGGGTTCGAGGCTGAATGAGTATGGGTCTAATCTAATGGACCCTATCATGGATAATCAAAAACAAGTGCTGGAGGAGCTGGATGGGGATGTGGGTAACCCTCCTATCCCAAAGAAGCACTTTGTGGAAGCATCTGATAGTTTAGACAAGGTGGAGGAAGCCAGCCTTGAGTGGCCCCCAGCCGATAAATGAGGCTTCTTGTCTGGAATGTGAGAGGAATTGGGCCATCCCTCATGTTCCAAACTGTTGTAGGGCTTGTTCAATATAATAAACTAGATCTCGTGTTTTTTTTCCCCTGAAACGCGAGCGAGCCGGCGTGTCGTGTCCCGTCGTATGCGGGGTTTAGGTTTTGTTCTTTCGCATTGTTTCTTTGTTGATGCATTCGATGCATCTGGTGGTTTAGTAGTAGCTTGGTCTCCTGGGGTTGACACTTCAGTGACGTTTCATTCTAATTTCTATATTTGTTTGCAAATTAACGAAGGAGATTTTCTTATATTGTGATATTTGTTTACATTAGCTGTAATGTTGCAATAAGAGTTATTCAATTAGCTCAGCTGCGGGATGTTTGCGCGAATATCAACCACCCTTATATAATCATAGGTGATTTTAATACCACTCTCCATGAGGGTGAAAAAGATGGGGTCTGGCGTGGAACGCTGCCCAAGCCACTAGTCTCCGTGATTTTGTTCATGATTTGGGTTTTCATGACCCTGGCTATCAAGGGGATCAATTCACATGGACGAACAAGCGTATGGGTGTAGTGTTCATTCGGGAACGTCTGGATAGGACGTTGTGCTCCCAGTCATGGATTGACACCTATCCGGAGACTCTGGTCAAACATTTTACGGACCAGGGTTCGGATCATCGTACCCTTCTCCTCGCTGATAAACCATATACTCATAGTAGTCGACCCCTTTTCCAGTTTGATGCCCGATGAGTGGAGAATCAGGAGGAAAAGGCTATGGTCCACTATGTCTGGCAAGAGGAGATCGAAGGCACCCCTATGTATCGCCTCTGGGAGCGCCTAAAGAAACTCCGTCATTTTCTTTATGATTGGAGCAGGGTTGGCATTTCGAATTCCCTACGTAATATCAAGACTCTCCAAGCGGAGATAGACCAGATAAAATCGATCCATCCAGTGGACTGGGATGAGATCAGGACCTTGGAAATGGAGTTGTCCCGTCAGTGGGAGGTGGAGGAAATATACTGGCAGCAAAAATCCAGGGTTTGATGGTTGAAAAAGGGAGATCAGAATTCTTCCTATTTCCATACGGTCACACGAGCTCGTCAGAAAAGGAATTTCGTTTCTGGGCTCCGAAATGATGAGGGTGAGTGGCTCACTGAGGAAAGTGGGAAAGCGACTATTGCTACTGACTTTTACCAGACTCTATTCACCTTGGAGACCCAGGTTCATAATATGACTGCTAGGGTGGCGAATCTTCCCATTGCCCATAGTGTTACTCCGCAAATGAATGCGCAATTGACGACTGAGGTCGTGCCCAGTGAGGTTCGGAAAATGGTTTTTTCAAAGGGGTCGAAGCAGGCCCCGGGGTCTGATGGCTTCACAGGAAAGTTTTTCAAATCGTTATGGGATATTGTGGGCACTTTGGTAACCGAAGCAGTTTGCTCTTTCTTTACAACAAGCCGGATGTTGCAGAGTTTTAACCATACATGGCTCACTCTGATTCCTAAAGTAGATTCTATGGAAACTATCAGACAGTTGCGTCCAATCAGCCTTTGTCAGTTTTTTTTATAAAGTGATAACCAAAATTATGGCTGAATGACTTGCAGGTCTGCTCCCCCATATCATCTCTGAGGGCCAGAACGCGTTTATAAGAGACCGACGGAGTATTGATAACATCCTTCTAGGACATGAGTTAATGCATTATTTAAAAATCACAAAATAGGGGAAGAAGGGGTACATGGCTCTAAAGGTTGAAATGGAAAATGCCTATGATAGAGTCGAATGGCCCTTCCTTCTGGCAGTTTTAGATAAAATGGGTTTTAACTCTGTCCGCCAAGGATGGATACATGAATATCTTCGTTCCTCGTCATTTTCTATCCTGATGAATGGTACTCCCTCGGGATATTTCACTTCCTCCAGGGGGCTCCGACAGGGGGATTCGCTATCGCCTCTCTTGTTTATCCTATGCACGGAGGGGTTTACGGCTCTTCTCCGGAAAGCGATCCCCGAGAAGAAGCTGGAGGGGGTAAAAGTGGCTCCACGTTCTCTAAGGACCTCTCATTTGTTCTTCGCAAATGATTCTTATTTATTCTTGCGAGGTTCTCTCTAGGAGTGCAAGAATTTAATTGAGGTCTTGAACAAATATGAGGGGCTGAGTGGTCAATGGGTTAATCTGGAGAAATCTGCGGTGTGCTTCAGCAAAAATATAGCCCTGGCAGATCAAGAGTTCTTGGCCACGATTCTAGGGGTGGGTGCAATGGGAGTCCATGATAAGTATCTGGGATTACCTACGCTGGTTTCAAGATCCAAGATGGCTACGTTCATATATTTGGAAGAGAAACTAATAGAGCGACTTCAGGGGTGGAAACAAAGGACATTGTCCTGGGCGGCTAAGGAAACATTAATTAAGTCAGTGGCGTTGGCCTTACCCCTGCATGTTATGTCATGCTTTCGGTTACCCCTTTATCTTTGTCGTTTATTGGATAGACATGTGGCCCGGTTCTGGTGGGGTGCTAATGAGGGCCACCATAAGATTAGATGGGTGTGCTGGCGCAATATGTGCAGGAGTAAACATGATGGGTATGGGAGTTCGCCGGTTTGAGCATTTTAACCAACCTTCTTGGGGGAGGGATTACCCCGACACACTTTTCCATTATTTCTCAAACGTTTGCTGGTGTTGATTCATCAACCGTCGTTGTCCATGGCTGTGGTTGCAGTCCTTTGCGGGATCTGGCGGTCTCGTAACTGCGATCCCTGCGCTAATGCGTCAATGTAATCAGTAGTATGAGGAATGGGTGGCCCTGCCGATTGATAAAGTTAATCCAGTGGGAGATTCACGATTGGTTTGCGTGTGGGATGGGGCCACCAGGAGTGGGTCGCATTCGGCTGGTGGGATGGTTCTTCTTGATTCGGCGCGGAGGATTCTTTTGGCGAAGGGGGTCCAGTTTCCTTAGGTTGACGAGCCTAGGGTGGTGGAATTGCTTGTGCTTAGTGAGGCGACTGTTTGGTATTTAGAGTGTGGCTTGGCGGAGGTACGGTTTGAGGGCGATGCGAAAGTAATTATTGATAAAGTTAATCACGCTAACACAAGGGATAAACGGTTGGGTGCGGTCCTTGAAGAGATATGTCATTATTTTTGCGCCCACTCTGGGTTTAGTGTGCGATTTATAGGTCGGGAGAACAATAGGGTAGCTCATTCGGTAGCTAGAAAAGCCCTCTCCTTGTATCCGACTGTGAGTCGCTTTTTTGATTTCCGGGCCTGGCTGGCTTCCATGATGTAACTATCTATTTGTTTGGATCAATATATGATATCTTTTGACAAAAAAGAAGGATGAACGCTTGGTTTATCTTTATGCGCCCTGCTCTAGGGTCAGTTGTGGGCTCCTATCAGGCCCGAACACTTTTGTGACGCACTGGGATCCACAACCTAGCCCTTGGCCCGGACTACTATCTACTTGGGCTTCTCAGTCTGCCCTTCTAAACATACCCAACAATAATCATTTTTCCAAGCCATATGATGTGGTTCTCCCTCAGATAAGTATCAGACCTTTAAAAAATAGGAGGATGAGAATTTTTTGTCCCTTATATATTGGGAGAGACGGAGAGTGAAATGTTAGACCATAAATAAATTAAGGTAGCAGGGACAATATATGAAAAATGAAACATGCAAGTGTCGGACATAAAACACTTCCCACCTGGGTATTCCTATATAATTACACATTCAACATATGATTTTCAACAATTATTTTATAGTTTTAACTTTTAAGAGTCAATTATCTCACAACTATTTATAGTTAGTATGAGTTGGTATCAAATCATCCTTTTGTTTTTAGGTAACTCCCACTTCACAATCCATGTAAAATAACTGGTACCAGTATAATGAAATGGAGATTTAGCCAAAGGTCACATAGCCTGATGGTAGGGTTGGAGGTTCGGTTATCGGTTGCCGGTTAACCATCCGGTTAAACCGATAATCGATGGTTACTGGTTAATCGACTAACCGAAATAAACGTGTGCGGGCGGTGTTCGGTATCAGAGTTAGATAGGTAGGTTAACCGACTAACCAACAATGATAACCATTGGTTAAACCGACTAATCGACGCATCTATCCCCTCGTAAAACGACGCCGACCCACTTCCAACATAACCCTAATCGATCCACCATTCCACCCCTAACCTCTAACCCCTTCCTCTTCTCTGCATTGCGAGCTCTCTCCCCTACCGCCCCCGCCTGCCCTGACTCTCCCTGCCACCTGGTCTGAACGGCGATTCGGCGAAGAGACTCCCCCTCTCTCCGCCATCTCCCTCCGCGACGCCGCCGCTCTTTGCCATCTCCCTCCACGCCGCCGCGGCTCTCCGACATTTCCCTCCCCGACCCACGCCCCTGCTGCTCCGCCATCTCCTTCTCCACCGACCAGTCCACGAGCAGCCAGCAGCTGCCGCTGTTCCTCGATTCCTCACCTCTGATCAATCTGATGTGAGTTGTGACTTCTTTAGTTTCAAACTTTCAATCTGATGTGAATTTGTGAGTTGTGGGAAGGCATGGCACTGTGAGGTCGCAGCTAGATCCACTAGCATCTTGATTTAGCCTAGAGATTTAGGGACTAAGATTTGTCGTCGTTGTTCCTATTTGAAAATTTTCTATAGATTATTGATTTGCTTTTCAAATTATAATTGGATTTGTTGCTTGATTTGCACTAAGATTTCTTTGGTATTAATTCTTTTTCGAGATCCGAAAGTATATCATGTTAAATTGTTAATGAAATGGCTTGTACTTTTGGACAGCAAGACTAGCTTGTACTTGTGTTAGAGAAATTAGTGTTATGTGTGTGTGAATTATGGCCACTGATTTAGATGATTTTTTTGAATTGAGTTTCAATTTGTGCACTTGTTTTTGTAGGGCGAGACCTCCGGCTGCTCGTGGTGGGCGTGGCAGACGAGGTGTCCCTACTGCTGCGACTGCTCTTCATGGTGGGAGACCTCCGGATCCTCGAGGTCGTGGTGGTGCGACTGCTCCTGTTCAGACCCGGGGTCGTGGTGGGCGTACAGGAAGTCGACCTGTTCAAGCTACTAAAGATGAACCGTCTTCATCAAGTCCATCGATTCCCGCCCCTGTCGATAGTGGAAGTACACCTGCCGAGACTCCCTCTAATGACACGGGCGCTCCTGATTCAGAGCAGCTACATAAGACATTTTTGACTGTGAGAAATGGTTGAAGACGGTGGGTAAAGCTTCTTGTTGGAAGGTGTTTAAGAAGCTGATAGTTGACAACTACCCGATGGGAGAGTGCATACACTGTCATACTCTAATCAAAGCTCATCCTCACAAAAATAGGACCACTTCAATGAATAACCACATGCACTCAT